CGCTATCNCNTCCTTCTTCTTCTTCTCTCTCTCTCTCTCTCTCTCTCTCTCTCTTCCTTTCCTTATAATTCCTCTCAAGTCTTTTTTTTTTTTTTGCCCTCTTGGCGGACCTGATAATGTGATTCGCAACGACCACCTCGAGGATAACCGAAAATGAACGAAATACTCGTTCGTTACGAATACCTCGTTTTTTTTTGTTTTTTGATAGCGCATTAAATAGACATTTTTATTACACGTGAAAAGAATAGTCGCATGTTGATTTCATTAATGTACAGTCTGTTTCTAAAATAGGTAGCTAAATTTTTCTTTTTTTTGCTTTACACGTCGTAAGGACAAAAAGGGACGTATTGAAAAGGAGACACGCTTTCTCATCCTGAACGACCGGTAGAAGGTTTTTCGAAAATTTGACCACCCATTTAGGAGATAGCCTGTAAGGAACGGTGAACGCGATCAAACGCATTGTTTGCGAATCAGAATAACAGGCGAGCGATCGAGTTCTTTATCGAGACGCGCGGAAAGTCGCGCACCGCCGTCCTCTCCGTCGTGGTTCCTCTCTCTTTCTCTCTTCCTCACATTCCCCCTTTCATATCCACATCCTTTCTCTCTCTCTCGTTCTTCCATTCTTCTCTCGCTCTTTTTTTCTTGCGTCCTCTCTCTTTCTCTCTACTCTCTCTGCTACGTGGAATGTAAAAGAAAAACAGGATACACTTTGCGCCTCGGCATTTTACATGTTTCTTCTTTGGACACTCGGAATAAACCGTTTTCGTTTTGTTTTTTCCTTTTTTTCCCCCATTTTTTCCCTTTTTTTTGTTTTTTTTTTTTTTGCTTTTTTTTTTTGAACTCATCGAGATATCGGCTTTGGTAGATCGATGACAGCATCCCGTCATCACAAAAACTGTAAGGCAAAGCTGTATTTTTTTTAATTTTTTTTTTCGTAGGAGGAGAAATTGTCGCGATTGGAAGACACCGTGTTTCGTTTGCGAGAATTTCGTTCTGCTTCGAAATCGAAAGGATCCAACGCGAGATAAAACAATGTACGGGAGGAGAAATTTGCATTAGTAATATATATTTGTCTGTGTTTGTATGTGTGTGTGTGTGTGTACGACTGTGTATCGCAAAGAGATCAAGGTTTAGGCTCCAGTCTACGTAACGAGCGGCTCGCCGAAACGATTTTTTTTATCCCTACCCCCATTTCTTTTCTCTTCTTCTCTTTCGTTACTTTTTTCATCCCTTTCTTTTTTATTATTATTTTTTTTTTTTTAAAGCTAGATAAACGTTTCTCTTCCTTATACGCTAAGTTTGGCAATATCGTTCGCAACAGTAAAAAAATTATATACGTATATATATTTATTTTTATATCCAGACGTGGAGCAGACACATTGGTTTCCTTCGATATGTAAAATCGTAAAAAAGATAATCAATTTAATAAAAAGTCTCTTAGATTACAATCGTTTCTCGTCAATTCCCTATTTGTCCTTTCGCGTTTCTTCTTCTCACGCCAATCTTGTTCCCTTTTTTTCCTCTCTCTCTCTCTCTCTTTCTTCTTTCTTCTCTTTCTTTATTTTTCATTTTTACTCGAATGTTTTTTTGTATTTGTTTCGTTTATGTGTTTGTTCCGTCGAAACACGTTTACCCCGTTCCACGCGGTTTTCCCTCGATGAAGAGGTATCATCATCCCCCAGCCTAGATTACAATTCGAATCTCGCTGCGATCATCGTTTTAATAATCCTCTTCTCTCCCTCCTTCTCTCCTCTCTCACTCCCCACTTCTCACACTCTTCTCTCTCTCTCTCTCTCTCTCTCTCTCTCTTTCTTTCTCTGCTCGCTATCTCGTGTCTCTGTACGTAAAGCTTTGCGTAAACGAGGCATTCAAGGAAAATGTGTGTTAGTTTAAGAATGAAATCGCTATAAAATATATCCGAACATCACGAAAGAACGGTCACAGTGTGCTTCCGCTGGCAAAAGTATTTGGAATGCATGGCACTAGACAGCCACGTTTCGACCACGTGACGTAACTTCGTATTATATTATTAGAGCGCCCGACCGTCCGCTTAATTCTTCGCCTAATATCTCACTAAATATCGCGTTCGTGCACAAACAGGGGCGAAACTATAGAAATTCGCGAGGTTGTGAATTCGTTCGCGGGGAAGTTCGTTCGAGAAAATAAGAAAGATATCTGTGTCGTGGAAAGATACCGAGACATTCCCACGCCACGTCTCGGTCATTTCGAGATTCGAAATGTTCGTGTAAAAATAGGAAAAATATAATATTGTAGATAAGAAAAGAAATACAAATATTTCAAGAAGCTGTGTGTAATCCTTGCGCGACCAGGCATATGAAATATTCCCAGTCCAATGTCCAAAGTTCTTGAACAAATTTATCTATCTATTCATGTACGTTTGATTTTATCATCTTGGAGCAGCTTACGAAAGTAACTCTGATAAATATTACGTTGGGTTCGTATCAATCACTTTCTTTCGAAATTCAATTACTAACTTAATATTTACGCGATCACCGTGTTTCATATTATTTTCCAATAGTTATTACGGAATAACGTGCGAATAGAAACGAGCAATCGCTATCGATATATATATATATATATATTCTTTTTTTCTTTTTCATCGACTTCTATAACAATGCAAGGCCAGGAAGACGAATCTGTTCGACAAACATCCACACGAAACGAGTTCCCGATATCATCGAACCTATCCAATATTAAGGAAGAAACGAACGATCTTATTACATGAACGCCTGAACAAGACGTATGCAGCATTGTTTCAATATTAATGGCAGTGCAAAAGGACTCTCGTCCGATATCCCATTAGAGAGCCGCGAAAGATTCGAATTAACGATGATCGCATAAAATTATTTTCACGCACAGGATTACATTTGTAATTTATATGCGAATAATTGTATAATGATATATTTTGGGACTGGATCGTGTATAGTTTCTTTTTCTTTTCATTTCTTTTTACTCGAACGTTCAGGCCGGACGAGGACTTCGGTACAACTCAATAACTTATGCCAGCAAAATATTAATTTTAATGAATCAACAGCAACAGACATTCACATACGGGGAAAAAGTAACATACGCATCATCATCATCATCATCATCATTATCATCATCATCATCATCATTATTATCATTATCATCATCATCATTATCATCATCATCATCATCATCATCATCATCATACTACAACTAGTCATATAGATTCTCGCGCAGCACGATCGGACCAGAGGTCTCACTAGTATTTCGAATCTTTCGAACCTTTTTTTTTTTCTTTCAGAGAATCATTCTACATCCGTGACACTCTTCACACGCATTCATTCTTCTTTACCACTTTCTCTCGCCCTCTTTTTCTTGTTAAGTTTTACTACCACTCACTTCGCTCCATCAAAGTAGCAACCAGCACTCTGACGACCATTTATTTCGCTTATTAACTTCAAGTTACCCCAAAAAACAGTCATTCGATGATGCTTCGATTGCTTCAAACGAGTGATGGTGTGATCGTTCAGCAAGGAATCGGAAACAGATCGCGGGCTTCGTTGGCAAAGCTACAGGAGGACAAAAAAAGCTAGGAGCTTTACAACGAGTTACGCATAATTGAACTTTCTCGACGAGACGATGTGTGTATAATCGCTCATTCAATAGTGAAGTTTTATTTTATACTTACACACAGACTCTCTGCGATCTAACACGCATACAAATTAATAAATCATTCTTACGTTCAATTATTAGAATACATACTTTCACAGCTTTGCAGTCTCTCTCTCTCTCTCGTTGTTCTCGTCGTTCGTTCTCTCTTCTTTGTTCTTCGTTACTTCTACACGACCTCTCTCTCTCTCTC